ACAATAATGCACGCATACAATAATGCACACCTACAATAATGCACACATACAACCATGCACATATACAACCATGCACACATACAACCATGCACATATACAACCATGCACACATACAACCATGCACATATACAACCATGCACACATACAACCATGCACACATACAACCATACACACATACATACAATAATGCACGCATACAACAATGCACACATACAGTTATGCACACAAACAATAATGCACACATACAATCGTGCACACATACAATCAAAGACATGCAATTACACGTAAACAACCACACCAATTACGATCACACACGCATACGAATCACGCGAGGCACAGCCCATACAACCACATACACGCACATACAAGCATAACCTGCATTCACGTGTCGTGGGCTAGGTTGTTAAGTGTTTACAACCCCTCCCCCCCCCCCCACAACCCCAACAACCCCCTTCCCCATGACCACTCGATAAAACAGATGTGTAGATTATACGTATAATTATATGTATTTAATTATTTATTTATTTAATTATTTATTTATATATGTATATGTTACATAACAAAAACCCTGCAAAGACTACTGCATGTGCACAATTACTCATGGACCTAAACACATCCACCAACATTCTTTACATCCCACTCCCCCACCCCCCACCCACCCCTCACCTCCTTTTTCCGAGTTACCGCTAACCTCTATTACGAAAATATCCTCCATAACAGCCAACAGGTCGATGAACAGTTACACACACACACACACACACACACATACACACACACACACACACACACAAACCACACCAACAATTGGGTTGTGTTTTGTTTGGTTTTTTTTTTTAAGTTTATTTTCTGCATTAAAACATTTTTTTATGGTTTCCTAGAGATGGAAAATTTGTATCGATTTCCGGAGACACTAAGCAATCGATAACAGTCAATGGTTGAATTCTTGCGGTAATACACAGCATCGACATGGCAGGGGACGTAATTCTCATTAATGTCAATTTCTATTCTTTTTTTATTCTGTACAAAATCTTTATTAGATTCGATTTTTTTTTTACTAAAACCCAAATAAAGCAACAAAAGATTTTTATTAGGATAAAGGCTAAAGAAATAAAATGCGGTGAAGAGTAAGGAAATAAAATAAGATTTTTTAAATATATTTTTAAACGTCACGAAATAATAAGCTGGGGTAGGGGAGGGTGGGTTAGGGTGGTTTAAATTGGCATTGTGGTTTTTTTTTTCCTTCAATATTACCCCGTAGAGCGAATAGATTTCATGTCAATAAAGAAGAATTATGACTGGATTATTTCTAAATTATAGCCGGTGTCAATCAACGAGGCACATTTTTGTTGTCTACGGTTACACACACACTATTGTATATTATATAGCCTATATATATATATATATATATATATATATATATATATATATATATATATATATATATATATATATATATATATATATATATATACATATATATACATATATATACATATATATATATATACAAATATATAGGCTACACATATATATATATATATACATATATATACATGTATATCTATATATATATACATACATATACAGTGCCGGCGCTACCTATAAGGCGAACTAGGCCGTCACTTAGGGCGCCATTCCTAGTGGGCGCAAAAAGGTTGAATCGCTATTATGAAAAAGTACCTTATAATTAATAACTTTGATTATCTTTTATAAACTATAGATGGTAATATACAACGGAGTAGCGATCTATTTCAGCGCCCAGGACGAACTATTAATTTTGCGCCCCCACCCCAAAATTAGGTCTATATACGTCTATATTTGTTCGCGATGTTTAAAATGCAACCCCACCTCCCTAATTTGGAAAGGTCGGGGCAATTTTTACCATTCACTTTACCTTTTTAATTTGGTGTCACATAATTGATGTAGAAAACGATTAAATACGTTTGTAATCTAAATTTCGAACATTTGTAACGCTTATCTAATTTTAAAGTTGATTTAGTGATCGCTCCAGCGCATGACGTTCCAAAACACGTGTAATTTTGGTTTTTAAAAGGGCTTGTAAGTCTCGTTTTCTCTGACTTTGAATAAGAAATATGTCCTGGTGTATAGATTTTTGTAATGACGGGGTGTTCAAAGTATTGTCACTTGTTTGGTGAATTTTGATGAATCGTTTAGATTTGGGAGTAACGGCGGAAGGCTGTTGCTTATATGGTTTCGTAGGTATAAAGTATCGAAGTGTTAAAGTGTCGTATTTTTTATTTGAACACACTACAAAGAAAGGTAGGCGTTCTCTAGTTGAAATTTTTTTAGTTTTTTTAGGAATCTAAATTACCACTCTTAAAGTATTAATATATAATATTATATAGGCTAGAATTTATAACTAACTGTACACTTTTTTTAAATTACATTTTCTTAAATATTTAATCGATAATTATAGAAATGTCTTAAACCAGGGGTCGGCAACCTGCGGTTCGCGAGCCGCATGCGGCTCTTTCCTGTCAAGATGCGGCTCTCCAGCTCCTTGCACAAATATTAATATTTATATTATTTCATTTTCAAAACTAAAAAAAAATACACTGTATATAAACACAACTTTAAAAAGAATAAAACACTCATCAAATAACAGTGAGAGTAGGTGAGGTAGAAAGTAAACGGACAGCTGACAGCCGCTTGGGCACCAGACCCAGCCCTACACCCGTGCTGTGATCAGCCCCGTGGCAACGGTTCCATGCTTGCTACTGCCGAAGTGCCGACTTTTTCGAATATTGGGGAATGTTATTTTATACAGAATGTATTTCTCTATCGGTCAGTAATCATTAATTTGACCTGAGTGGCGTGATTTTTTAGTTATTAGCTTCGTACAGTTGAGCCGGGTACTGGACGGTGGGGTACGAGTTTACCCTGCGTTCAGTGGGGTGGAAGATAAGCCTGTTGAGATCCGAAGACAGAAGGCTATGGGAGATACCTCCTGGGCCAGTGGTGTCCGTAAAGAAAGAAAAAAAAGTCATTGGCTTCTAAAGTGGATTGGGATAGTCGTATAGTTAAATTATTTCATTACTAATTTAATCAGAGCAGAGCTGGCTAAAATACTTAGATGTTTTGCACGAAATATTAGTATGTTTTTTTTAAGTATAAATATTTTTTCATAATTAAAGCTATTTATTTCAAATAAAAAATCAGATGTATATATCAAATCCCAATCAAATGCCAAAATATTGAAATAAAAATGATATTGGCTTTTTAAAATTTGGGAACTTTTGTAAATTGTAACTTTTGGCTTTTCTAATTCAAAAGGTTGCCCACCCTTGTCTTAAACCAGGGGTCTCCAAACTTTTCAGTCCGAGGACCGCATTGGCTATCAAATTTCAGTTCGGGGGCCAGTTTCTATCAGGCATGTCTTTGATTTTTCTGGGCACAGTTCCTCAGCCGTCACCAACTAACGTCTTTTCCGTGGACAAAAGCATCTCCGCGGGCCGGATTAGAGGACTTCGCGGGCCGCATCCGGCCCGCGGGCCGTAGTTTGGAGACCCCTGTCTTAAACAGTTAAGCCTTACTTGAATTTTTTTAAAGTAGTCCCTTTATTTAGGGGATCCAAAATTAAACGAAATATATAAAGTGCTTGTTGTTTAGTTTAAGTATGTCATCAAAATTGAATAGAAAGTATATATATTAAAGCTAATGTGTTTAGACTTTCAAACAAAACCTACAGTTAAGTAGTCAATTAGTAAAATATATACTTTTGACACGGCTGCATAACTAATATAAACTATTTGTTATAATTATTACGTAATGAAATTTACATCGTTTTGTTGTATTTTTCAAGAATGTCTTAGTTACACTTGGTTAATTTAGCTACTCTTGTGAAAGTTATTTCCCTTGAATAAAATTTTGGTATTTGAATTTCCAAATGGGAGATAATTCTTTGCTTAATTTTACATTCATTTCAAATTCATGCACCTTAGGTTGACCGCTTACTTATAAAGACACTCTAAGTTATTGCTATTGTAGTAATTATATAGAGCAGAAAATCTAACCAAAATAGTTTGGTAGGTTTTTTTAGCATTATCAAGTCGAAAAACAAAAACATCAGTAGCCGTTGTTTTGAAAATAAAAGTATTTTTTAAAAATTTACATTTAGTTTTTAAAAACTCAATTAATTATGTGGTTTTTTCCATTTTTTCGCCCTCTCCTAAGGGATTCATATATAACAATTGTAGTCTGAATTCTATAACATTTATAAACTTTTATTTTTCAACACCAAAAATCGTTACATAATCACACAATATAGACATTTTAGAATGATCTCTAAAAAACAGTCAAGCTTAAAAAGGTAAGTTCGGTTCTGGAACTCACCTTGGGAGGTTCGCAGAGAGCCCAACACTACAACAACTATGCTTTTTTCCCAGTATTTTTTCCAGGCATTTTTATCTACCGGATGAGCGGGGGGGGGGGACTGCCGTAAAGTACAAAGTGCATTCGAAGACGTGGCAACAATTTCAATAGAATGTGATTACGCTTGCAAACTGGACTTGAAGGACATAGTTCTACTTATAACGTGTACTCAATTGTTAATAAATTATTATGACACTCTTAATTAATTTTTATTTATAAATATGTTTTTCGTAATCAATTTGTGTGAAAGAGGGCATTTTAGTAAGTTTTGCCTAGGTCACTAAATAACCTGGCGCCGGCATATACATACCTATAAACATATATATATATATATATATATATATATATATATATATATATATATATATATATATATATATATACATTCATTTATTCATATATTCATACATTCATATATTCATACATTCATATATATATATATATATATATATATATATATATATATATATATATATATATATATATATATATATATATATATTTATTTATTTATTTATTTATATAGTTATATATTTATTAAAATACATGTGAACGTGAGTGTGTGATAGATATAGATTGAACTCTATACGAATGTGTATTCTGTACAGAATGATTGACGTAGCGGGACAGAGAAGCCTGAGAAAAAAATGGATCCACTTCTTTGATGAGGTGACTGCCGTCGCTTTTTTCGTCAACCTGGCCGCATATGACGAGTACCTGGAGGAGGACCCGTCCGTGGTGAGTCTGATCCATCGTCTACTGTCTGAACACAGGCTTTTAGATCTGTTGCGCTTTTGGCTAATTAAGCTGAGTCGTCGTGACGCACTCGGTAACCCTCGGGGCTAATTTGGGTTTTAATTATCTAATCAAGTAGAAGGGTGGGTGTGGGGAGGATGGGGGGGGGGGGGGGAGTATGATGCAGACCGTTTAACTTCGACATTTAATCGATGGGCTGATCACGACAAGCAACCAAGCATGGATGCCCGGGCGACGGGAACACGCGAGCTGACGTCACAGTCCACACACCCTCACACGCCCGCACACACTCACACACACACACTTACATACACACATTTACGTGACTTTTGTGACGGCACGGTCATATAGAAAAAATTATTTTTTGTTCATTTACCCCAAGGCGTAACGTACTAGCTAAAAGTATGTTGAAGGTAGGTGGGGAGGGGGAAAATAAGATAGGAATTATGTTTATACATATATATATATATATATATATATATATATATATATATATATATATATATATATATATATATATATATATATATATATATATATATATATATATATATATATATATATATATATATATATATATATATATATATATCAGAGGCGTAGCGAGGGGGGGGGGGGGGTGCGGACGGCACCGGGTGACACCATTTAGGGCGTGACACCAAGGCAAAAATAGCAAAATATATAGAGAAAAACTTTAGGGGGGTGCAAATCGAAAGTTTGAGGGGGGGGGGGGGTGCAAATCGAAAATTTCAAAGTTTGTCCCCGGGAAGGGTCGCTACGCCTCTGGGGGGTGACACCATTAAGTGCCGCACCGGGTGACACCCGACCTCGCTACGCCACTGATATATATATATATATATATATATATATATATATATATATATTTATATGTGTGTGTGTGTGTATGTATGTATTTTTACACATATTTATATATATACATATAAATATATACATATATATTCATATAGATATATATACATACAAATATATACATATATACACATAGATATATACATATCAATATATAGATATATACATATCAATATATAGATATATACATATAAATAAATACATATACAATATTTACGTGCGCATATATATATATATATATATATATATATATATATATATATATATATATATATATATATATATATATATACATATACATATATACATATATACATATATACATATATATATATACATAGGCATATATATATATATATATATATATATATATATATATATATATATATAGGCATATATATATATATATATATATATATATATATATATATATATATATATATATATATATATATATATATATTGATATATGTATGCAATGTAAGCTGCATCCACACCAAACTACCCATCTCGTTCACATTATCCAATTGATAAAGCGAGACAACTCTGACCCAATGATGTCTGATTTCACTGACATTTTCTCTCAGAGTTCTTTCCCCTCGAGGTACATCCTTTCAGTTGTCAGTTTGCAAAAAATCTCGAATCAATATCGAAATGTTTGGAGTGAGTGCTTGTTGCAGTATTTGGATGCTTGTTTTCTTGCGCACCAATAAAGTATAACGCGAAAGGGGAAAATACCGGAGGGGTGGTTACAAATATTTCATTAAATCTAAAAAGTAGTAACGTTTTTAGCAACAACAACAAACAATTTAAAAATGAAAAGAAAACAAAAAGGACGTCTTTTATTTTAAAATAGTGTTTGCATATCTAAGGGGTTTTTGTAAACAACATAACAAAACGAAATCTCGGACATTTTGTTATGAGCGTTAGTTAATTTTCCGGTTCTTAAATTACCTTGTTCAAGTCGCTATCTCACTTGATTTATTGAAGAAAAAAAAATCAATTCTACAGTTTATTTTTCATTACAAAATGTATTAGCATTCCCTCCCTTTATGTTCCTTCTTTTTTTCTTTTCCCTGTCCCCTACCGGTTTAACAAACTTACTCCCCCCCCCCCTTATTGCAAATATTGACCAAACACGTAAAAGCCATGTATTTCTTCCGGTTGTTGTTTGTCCTGCAAACATGTCTGACTCTGGCATTTCCTGTCCGGTCACAGAACAGCCTACAGGACAGCCTGCAGGCGTTCATCGAGATCAGCAACAGCCCGTTCCTGGACAAGACCGAGTTTATTCTCTTCCTCAACAAGAAGGACATCTTCGCCAGCAAAATCAAGTCCACGCCCCTGTCTATCTGCTTCCAGGAGTACAAAGGTACATGGGGGGGGGGGGGGGTCTTGAAGGTGGGGGTGGGGCTTGAAAGTATTGTTAATGCTTGAGAGTAGGAGTAATGCTTGAAAGAAGGGGTGGGGCTTGAAAGTATGGGGGTTGGAGCTTGAAAGTAAGGGGTGGAGCTTGAAAGTAGGGGTAATGTTTGAAAGTAGGGGTGGGGCTTGAAAGTAGGGGTGGGGCTTGAAACTAGGGTGTTGTGCTTGAAATTAGGGGGTGGGGTTTGAAAGTAGGGGGTGGGGCTTGAAAGAAGGGGGGGGGAGCTTGAAAGTAGGGGGTGGGGCTTGAAAGCAGGGGTTGGAGCTTGAAAGTAGGCGGTGGAGCTTGAAAGTATGGGGTGGGGCTTGAAAGTAGGGGGTGAGGCTTGAAAGTAGGGGGTGGGACTTGAAAGTAGGGGGTGGGGCTTGAATGTAGGGGTGGAGCTAGAAAGTGGGGGTGGAGCTTGAAAGTAGGGGTAATGTTTGAAAGTAGGGGGTGGGGCTTGAACGTAGGAGGTGGGGCTTGAAAGTAAGGATGTTCTGATTATGGTGGGTTTACCTTGTAAAGTTTAGGTTTATGTTTAGTATTACATAAGGAGTAGATGTACTTTGGAGCAGTACAATTTCCCTCCCCCTCCCCAGAGATGCCTGAGAGAAACTCTGGTCTCACACCATGTCTAATTGTCTTTTAGCTTACCAGGTTTCACCTCCCCAAATTTCTACAACCTTTAACCTTAAGAACTTTGACCTCTTTAGGATTCATCTACCTTTTTACCTTGCCAACTTTGATATCCCCGTGCGCTCCACCCACCGTTAACCTAATGAACTTTGACCTTCCTCAAGGTCCAACTACCGTTTAACCTTATGACTTTTGACCTCCCCAAGTGTCCACCCACCTTTAGCCTTATGAACTTTGACCTCACCAGGGTCCAACCCCTGTTTACTATAAACTTTAGCCTCCCCGGGGTCCAACTACCTTTAACCTACTAACCTTATAACCTCCCCCAGTGGTCTAACCACCATTAACCTTCTGACCTTTAACCTCCCCACAGGGTCTAACCACCTTTAAGCTTATGAAATTCGACCTCCCCCAGTGTCCACCCACCGTTAACCTTATGACCTCTGACCTCCCCAGGCTCCCAGTCACTAGAGGCCAGCCTGAAGCACGTGAAGGAGCAGTTCCTCCAGAACAAGCCGAGCCAGAAGCAGGTGTACACGCACGTGTCGTGCGCCATCGACGTGCCCCACATGAAGGACCTGCTTGCCTCCGTAATCGACTGTATCGCTGAGATCAACCTCCGACGCTCAAAGAATTATTAACATCACTTTTTGTTTTTTTAAATACGGTTTTTTAAATACTCGATTACGTACGGCTATGTCGTTGTTTTTTTTCAATAATCGATACATTGGGTGTTTTAAACGACTCTGAATATATACAAAAAAAATGGCATGTTTAACGATAATGGATATTTGGCTTAAATAAATTGCCAATTTAAAACATTATATTGTTCATTGAACTCATTATTCTGTTATTGTATTGAAATATACTGCAAAAATAAAAGGTGTAATTTTTAAATCGCAATTTTATCAACGGAAGGCAGAAACACTAGGGGTGATTGGGGGTGTTTGAGGTGTCATTCGATTGTGCTGTCCTGGCTGCTTACGGTTTATTATGTGCTCATTAAGGTCATTGGTGTGCATAATAACTATGATTTGCATATTTTATAAATTAAAAAATCGATGAATGACGATAAACTGTGGTGAAAATCCCTAAATGTTCAAATAATTGATCCAACTGACTTTATTACATATGTATATGCATATATATATATATATATATATATATATATATATATATATATATATATATATATATATATATATATATATATATATATAACATGTATATTGAGCTTTTATTTGTATATAAATTGGTATACTGAGATCCAATACTTTAAAGCAATCACTAGGCCTAGGTAACCATAATATTTCGCTATTTGAAATGACACCTCAATTTTTATTGATGTCAAAGCCTTTGTCTATTATTAGCTTCACTAAAACCGTCGCTCTATAGCCAACCGTTTGACCGTGGATATAAAAGTCACTACTAAGATATTAAAGTCACTAAATAATTCCCCACCCTTAACAATCAGCTTGTAAACCACTGCAGAAAAAGCTTTGGGAATAAATTGTGTATGGTTCGGATCAGAAGGATTTTTTTTTTAAAGTATAAGACTGATGTTCTTGGGGATAGGGGCTCCAAACTTAGGAACATTGACTTGGATTGTAGTGGCGCATATATATATCTATATCTATATCTATATATATATATATATATATATATATATATATATATATATATATATATATATATATATATATATATATATATATATATATATTGCGCGTATATTTCCAAAAGATTTTCTAAGGTAGAGTAGGTCATCCAACGCCTCCCTTTCACCCACCCCCACCCCTCAACCAAACATGGGAGCGCCCATGAATTGGAACGGCTAGTTACTCCATACGTTGCACTACTGTATGGCTCCAATTGTTCTGTTACCTATTGGTTATATCTTTGTTACCTGTTTGTCTGGGTGTATGTGTTTACGGTACTTCTGCGTTCGCCGGTAAGATTGTAAAGTATTGTCTCTATGGTTTATTCTTCTGCCGGCAAAACTGAGTTAAGATCAAGTAAATAGCTTTTTGTGCAATTTTGTGCAAGCATCTATATGATATCTCGGCGATCATAGAAGTACAGTTTTAATTAATTACATATTATAAATATTAAAAATCCTATTTTAATTTATAAAAATGAAATTAAAAAATAAAATGTTGAAGAGTCGAGCAGTTTTTTTTTAACACTGTGGTTAAGCCTACATGTTTATTTAGAGTTAAATATACATAACAACTCATTTGTAAATTATAACCACGACTATTAGATAAAGACAGATACAAGTGGGCTCTAAATGAATGTGTTAAATAAAACCAGGCTCTATCACAATCATGTTAGTTGTTTTGTTTTATACTGATTGTCGTATTTTCTTTTCTTGAGTAGTGTTTATGCTTGCTTATTTTGTTTTTATTTATTTATTTGTAGATGTTTTTTTTTATTTTGGTCTTGTGTTTTCGATGTAAACAAAGTGGTTTCGTTTGATCATTCGTTTAATACCATCATAACCATTACAACGTTAAAATATACGCTGTGCATTGGTCGTTAAACCATTGCTAAACCGAGTTCGAACCCTAAGGGCTGATGAGGCTCGTTAGCTGGAGACAGCAACCCTTCAAAATCAAACAACTGCTGCCTCGTAGATTGTTCTTGGTTGATCAAGGGCTATGGAAGCAAATCCAGAAAAAAAAGCAGGCTGAAATCGGCATGATTGGACTAAATACTTCATCGTGTTAAAGGAAACCTCTTAAAACCTTACAAATTAAGAACGAAGAAGAAGAAGATTCTCAAACAACTGTATCAACGAGTCATAGAGAAACACTGGCATAGTGCTTTTTGATCGAAACAGTATTGAATCATCAGTTGATTTGAGATTTGAAAATAAAATAAAGCGTTTAAACAAAGTTGGCTAGATTAGAACGATACCTCAAGGTTACACTTGTAAACGTTGGTTTAAGTAAAAGAAAAATTGTGAACGTCCTACCATCACTAGAGCTAAAAGTAGACGATGCCAGTTTTTCAACCGTTTGTAAACTACATACGTCAGTAGTCAGTAACCATTTCAAGTGTTGATTTTGCACAGGAATTAAGCAGCAAAATTTGAAATGCACAAAAAGGGAAAGAACCATTACTATATCTTATTTGTATTTTAGTTGTTGTCTTCCCTGATACATACATTGTGTTTGTTTTTTCAGAGACACGCGTATTATAAAGCCTTGTCTTAACATTGATGAGTTTCGGAGAAAGTGAATTTTCTTAAAATAAATTGTCATTCATTTTGACTTCTATGCATAAAACGCCCAAAATATTAAATATCAATTCTAAGAGACAAAAGCATTTGAAATAATAAGATAAACAAGTTAAAACAATGAAACGAAACTTCGGCTAATCGAGTCTACAAAATGTCAACGTTTCATGTCATTTTACGACGTCCTGTTGACTGCGGTTAGTCAGATCAGTTAGCCGGACATTGACTGGACAAATTGACTAATGGGAGGAACGTTTGTGGGCCACCTCTGAGCTGGACATTAATTGGACAATGTCACATAACAATCAATGTCCGCTTTACCCTTAACAGAAAACCTACACCGTTCTTTTTTGTTTCATAGTGGGCCTACGCATGTGTCTTTCATCGTAAATAAGGTTAGTTCCTTTTAAAACCTGACGATCTATGGAGCAAGTGAAGTAGAGTTCGCCTGTTTCTGTGACCTCGGCACATGAAGAGAAAGTATGGTCAGCACTATGCCCAGCCGCCTTTTCTTTTCCTAACGTGAGCTAGGTACCCATCAGAGCTGGGTGGACTCAGAGACCCGTATTCAAACTCGAGACTTTCTGGTTAGCAGTCTAGCGTTCTACCACTAGGCCAATCCGTCTGTAAATGTAAGTCTACAGAATTTAACGGGGGAATAACTAGTATGTCCGTCTAGCAATTTTTTTAAGTATTGGTAAGATAAACAGAAGAGGTTTTTGATTTTCGTATTATCGCATTTATTTATTTTCTTGCTAAATAAACAGTGCAGTCGCTACTAGGCATATTTTTTTTTACAAATATTTCAAAACAGGTAAAAATGTACAGAGATAGAATAACAAAATAATACTGCTATTGTGAGGTGGCACTTCGTCCCATGGAATACAATGGACATCAAGCAACGATAGAAAAAGTGTTATTTGCAAAAATTAGAAGAAAAAAAAAATTAAAAATTAATTTACGAAGACCGAGGTTTAAGGCAAAAACATTAAGGTAACAGGTAACGTCAGTGTCCTTTTCAGGAGTAGCCTTCACCTTGACCTTTGTCCCCTGCCCCGCCCCCAGCCGCAGCCATCAACGTCTGCTGCTGCGCCTTCTTGGAGCCGGGGCTCATGGTGGAGCTGGTCTCCCCCAGCTGGCGTCGTCTGCGCAGGTAGTTGACCTTGAGGATGAAGGTCTCGGTCGTCAGGCGACCGTTTTTCTTGATGTCCTGTCGCACGAAGCTGGGCACGTTCTCGGTGAAGTTCTCGAAGTCCACGATCTGGTAGAGGAAGCCGGTGCTGTTGGCGATGGAGTTTCTGGTGGCGGGGCGGCTGGTGGATGAGGTGGGAGGGTTAGTTAAGGTGTTATCTTCTATACATTATTAGTTTATGTTATGGTATAAGTCCGAAATTGGAAAATATTGTAGGCAGTCAAATCAAATCTTAAAACGGCCGATGCCGTAATTAAAATTAACTGAGAAATGTCTGATATTTTCTTAATGTCGGGATTTGGCCGGCCAGTTTGCGAAAAAACATATAAAGAATACTTTTTATTGTGTTAGGGCTAATTGCTCAAAATGTGTTTATTATTTAATAGTTTTTAAACTGTAAACTAGATATGCACTCCTACATATTAACAACAAACGTAGGCTTATTTACGTTGTTGTTATCGGTGTAAATAATATTCGTAAAATTGTTTTGTTTTATTTTTTAAAGTTTTAAATAACATTTTAAATACCTACCTTTAATTTTCTGGTATAACACCTTAATAATGGACCATAAGACACACCTACCTTGTTTAACAACACCTTAACTAAAGTAAATAAAGTTCCATTTTCGAACCTGACGGTCAATTCTATGTTCAGCCGCCTTTACTTTCCCTAAAGCTAGTTAGGCACCCACCAAAACTGGATGGACTCAGGGATGTTCTACTGACTTGAACCCGGATTCAAACTCGAGAGTTTCGGGTTAGCAAGACCTATGTCATTGTAGAAAACAAACGAACCGTAAAACACACCTACCTGTGTGATTGTAGAAAACAACCGAACCATAAAACACACCTAGCTGTGTAATCGTAGATAGCAAGTCCACCATAAAACACACCTACCCGTGTGATTGTAGAAAACAACCGAACCGTAAAACACAACTGCCTGTGTAATTGTACACCTAACAAGTCAACCATAAAACACACCTACCTGTGTGATTGTACACCTAACAAGTCAACCATAAAACACACCTACCTGTGTGATTGTACACCTGACACGTCAACCATAAAACACACCTACCTGTGTGATTGTACACCTAACAAGTCAACCATAAAACACACCTACCTGTGTGATTGTACACCTAACACGTCAACCATAAAACACACCTACCTGTGTGATTGTACACCTAACAAGTCAACCATAAAACACACCTACCTGTGTGATTGTACACCTAACACGTCAACCATAAAACACACCTACCTGTGTGATTGTACACCTAACAAGTCAACCATAAAACACACCTACCTGTGTGATTGTACACCTAACAAGTCAACCATAAAACACACCTACCTGTGTGATTGTACACCTAACACGTCAACCATAAAACACACCTACCCGTGTGATTGTAGAAAACAACCGAACCATAAAACACACCTACCTGTGTGATTGTAGAAAACAACCGAACCATAAAACACACCTATCTGTGTGATTGTACACCCAACAACCGAACCATAAAACACACCTACCTCAGCGACATTCTGGATACGGAGCGATCATCTTCCTCTAGCACGGGGTAATCGCCGTGAGCGATGAAGCCGGACTGTACCGGCGTCATCAACCGGCTCAGCACCGAACTCGCCCGCCGGTCCACCAAATACTTCCTGCCGGGTGTCCCACAGTCCTCGCCGGCATCTTCCGGCTGGTCCGGGCGGCCGGTGAAGACGACATTGAGAACAGCCTCCCGACGGGGCGGCTGTACGAAGGACGCGTTGCTGTTCTGACGTTTCTTGTCCGATTTCCGCCTGCCGGGCCGTGTGTTCTCGTCACCGTTCCGGCTTGAACTCCGGTCTTTACGGGAATCTGAAAGCCGGCTTAAACTTCGGCTACTGCGGCTTCGCAAATTGTCTTTGGGTGTTTGTGGATGAGTTGTTGCATTGTTGTTGTAAAAACTAGAAGTAGCGTCATTTCCTGGATGAGATCGGGAATTCCCAACCGGTGCCTCGACTTGAACACCGGTCGGTGGGTTATTTTTAGCAGTCACGTGACTTGGGGATTTGTTTTTGTTGACCTGTTCGTCTTGCAGTTCGTGGTCTGTTTCTTCTGGAATATTCAGCCTCGTTTTGGATCTGGCGCTGTGGGGCACAGATTTGGCGTCATGGGCTGGGGAGATGTTTGAGCTCTTGTGGCTTTGTGGGCTTAGTTTGGTATCTGTGTATGTTTGTGCAGACAGCCTATGCAACTGGTCGTGGTTTCTTGAAGCTGAAGTTTCTTGCATACCAGATGAGTCCATGGTTAACGTCTTTCGAGTACTCATCATACACGGAATGGCGTGAACAGTTTTAAAAACATCTGGCAAAAAAGTAACGTCTTGGATCGAGTCTGTGAATTAAAATAACATTTAGGTGTGTATTGAGGGGAAAATGAAAGTAGACCGGCCAAAGAAATCCTGGAGAAAGACCATAGAAGATGAGGCAAGGGTTGTCGGGCTTACGTGGGCGCAAATAAAGAAAGCCGCTCAAAACCGAGTCAGGTGGAGAGGTGTGGTTGCAGCCCTTTGTTTCTCAATGGTCATAAAGCAATAAAGAGAAGATTAGAAAGAGTGTATTTAGGTATCACTTGTATGTTGAAAAAGGAGGGTGGGCCGGCCAAGGAAGACATGGAGAAGAACGGTTGAAGACGAGGCGAAAACAGCTGGGCTCACATGGGCACAGATAAAGGGGGCAGCCCAAAACCGAGTCCGATGGAGATGTGTGGTTGCAGCCCTTTGCTCCCCAGGGGCCACACAGGAGCGATGACGATGTATGTTGTTGGGTGAATGAGATGAGTATTAACGGTTACGACGCAATAAAGGCATAGAAGTTTATTTATTTATGTGTGTTTAAATATTTGCAAGGTTATAAGAATGGGCCTAATACAAGGGTATAAAAAGATAGAAGAATCATTATCAAGTCGGTTGAGATTCACTCTCAACATGTTGTGCATTGTATTTCATCTTAAATTAGCTTTTTATGTAGAGAAGCCAGTGATTGGGATAGTTATGTTTAGATATCATTGAGTATTTTTTTAATTTAACAATACTCTACAATTTCTGGAGCATTGAGGTCTCACAGAGTCGTGTAGTAGAAGGTATAAATAAAAAGACATTGGGTGGAAGGGAGATAAATGTGATGGGTTTTAAAAATAACATTAATTTGTCTTCGCTTGCGTAGAATAAAAAACAACGGTAATAAAAGAAAGTAGTAGGAACTAGTAGATCATTTAAATATTAAAATAAATCTAGACCCAAACATTTTATGTAACCATGTTTTAATGTGTTTTATGTTCGAGCTTGTGTTTTAGCGAAGACCGAGATTTAACTCTCATTTTATCATTTTTTATCGCTAAAAATTAGTTAAATATATAAGTAACGTTTTATATAAATACATATCTTATACATTTAAATAATAAATAATTTTAATTCTACAACTTACATAAATCGCGTGTTTAAAGATATATCCAACAATTTTGAAATATGTAGTTCACAACTCAAGTTCCTCTAGTGCTCCTGTACGTTCGCCTTATCTTATGCAAAACGTATTCACTTTTGTCAATGTTGAAACTAAACACTCCTCTACTGCATGCAATCTGTTGAATGTTTTCACTTCCACCCACTTCATATATATGTTGACTTAGATTGAATTATTTCCACGTCTCCCCAGGAACAATAACTCACGCCGCCTTAAGCCACCAGGTCCGACAACTCTAAATAACTAAATCACGTTTTGAAATTTAATCTCGGCCCAGTTTTCTCAGACGAATCGGCCTGTGGGTATAGGGCATGAAAGAATGCTGTGTACACGTATTTCAGAACCTCCGTTGTATCACACGTTACGCCTCAATGGCTTCGGTTCGATCGTTTTAATCCCTGTTATTGATCGTGTGATTAGCTTTATATAATCAGCAAGGAAGGGGGGGGGAGTGGGTATTTAATTTAAACGAGTGTGTATTAACTACACATAAATATATTTTTTATATTAAACTGGTTATACTTAATCAATGAATAAATAATATAAACGTGGTATACATTGAGTGCTTATAAGGTTAATTAGGCTTACCCCTTAATAAAAATGTTGCAGCAATTAAGTTTTGTCTGCGACAAATGATCATTTAAACTTTGCAATATTTGTAATCATGCAAAAATACCTTGAGCCACAGAGTTTAAAAAGTAAACCACAAGAAATAGCATTGATCACAAGTTTAAAAAAACCACCGACCACAGATAGAAAGAATCACCGACCACAAGTTTAAAAAAACACCACAAATTTAAAAAACCCACCAACCACAAGTAAAAAACTATCGACCATAAGTAAAAAAAAAGTACCTACCTCAAGTAGAAAAAACAACCGACCACAAGTAATGAACCACCGACCTCAAGTAAAAAACCACCGACCTCAAGTAAAAAACCACCGACCACAAATTTATATACCACCAACCACAAGCAAAAAAACACCACCGACCACAAATTTATATGCCACCAACCACAAGCAAAAAAATCCATCAACCACAAGTTTATATATCACCAACCACAAGCAAAAAGAAACACCGACCACAAATTTATATACCACCAACCACAAGCAAAAAAAAAACACCAACCACAAGCAAAAATACCACCGACCACAAGTAAAATAAAAACCACCGACCACAAAATATGCCAACCACCGCCGTACGATAAACTGTGTTGTAACACTTTAATCCCAGATATTTATCTCCCCTGGTTACCTCACAGCTTAGTTCAAACACCCCACACCAAGAGCTGGAGGGTTAATCCCCAAAGTGGTCTTAAGGCAGATTAAAAGATTAATGTCATTCGGGGAGATAAATGCTTGTATAAGAAATGAAAAAGTTTTTTGACTAGCGCCCATCTCCTCTCCTCACCCCCTCCACAAAACGTCATAGCTCAGTGTCAGTGTAGGTTGTGTACATGTATAGTCTGTATGTGTACAAGACTTGTCTGTGTGTGTACACAACTTATCGGTGTGTGTACATGACTTGTCTGTGTGTGTACACGGCTTGTCTGTGTGTGTACACGGCTTGTCTGTGTGTGTAAATGACTTGTCTGTGTGTGTAAATGACTTGTCTGTGTGTGTAAATGACTTGTCTGTGTGTGTAAATGACTTGTCTGTGTGTGTAAATGACTTGTCTGTGTGTAAATGACTTGTCTGTGTGTGTAAATGACTTGTCTGTGTGTGTAAATGACTTGTCTGTGTGTGTAAATGACTTGTCTGTGTGTGTAAATGACTTGTCTGTGTGTGTAAATGACTTGTCTGTGTGTGTAAATGACTTGTCTGTGTGTGTACATGACTTGTCTGTGTGTAAATGACTTGTCTGTGTGTACATGACTTGTCTGTGTGTGTACATGACTTGTCTGTATGTGTACATAACTTATCTGTGTATATGACTTGTATGTGTACATAACGTGTATATGTACATGACTTGTCTGTATGTACATGACTTGTCTGTGTGTGTACATGACTGGTCTGTGTGTAAATGACTTGTCTGTGTGTGTACATGACTTGTTTGTGTGTAAATCACTTGTCTGTGTGTACATGACGTGTCTGTGTGTGTACATGACTTGTCTGTGTGTGTACATGACTGGTCTGTATGTGTACATAACTTATCTGTGTATATGACTTGTATGTGTACATAACGTGTATATGTACATGACTTGTCTGTATGTACATGACTTGTCTGTGTGTGTACATGACTTGTCTGTGTGTGTACATGACTTTTCTGTATATGTGCATGACTTTTCTGTGGGTGTACATTAATACTCGATCTTGTATGTTCGAAAACTGTATGTCTATATTATCACTCTGTATGTGCATTCAAGTGTTATGTATACCTACAAATGTATGTTCAATTTCTTAATGTAGATACCAGTACATATTCAGTGGAATGCTGATACATTTTGCTGTGCACATATTGTCTGTTATCTGACATACCGTGTGTTGTTAAACTCTGTTCTGTATTGGATAACCCTTTATGTGCATGCTAATTTATTAATAGGATTATTTAGGATTATTGTCTTTGATCTGTCGATAGCTTGTCTGTCTTGACTGATTTATAGACGTTTGCACTCGTTGTTTGAAAACAGTGGGAGGGGGGAGGGGTCGGTTTGGCAGGTGGGTTGTAATTACATATCGAGGCAAATGTGAACCTTGATGTTTTTTTACAGGTTTAAATAGGTTTCAACTAAATTATTATAGACAGGTTAATTTTCATGATTTTAGACTAAACTGGTATTGAAACAGATATGTGTTTAAATTGAAATGAAGTTACGGTATTCACTGGTATATTGAGTCACAGTCAATAGTTGATGATACGTCGCATGAGATGCATGTTCCCGTGGGACACAGATTGTCAGTCACATGCCTCTAGACTCTAGAGTCCCGAGACACACACAGAGAAAAGGTTTAAGGCAGAAAGGCTAGGATTTTTTTATACTGCTAAAGAGGCGAGAACAATACTGGAACGTAGTGGGGACAAAAAAAAATTAATAGTCATATATCAAGTTAAATACCATATATAAGCGCCTTTAATATTGCCCTTATATATATATATATATATATATATATATATATATATATATATATATATATATATATATATATAGATATGTGTGTATAGATGTATATGTATATACACATATTTGTATAGGCATATATATATATATATATATATATATATATATATATATATATATATATATATATATATATATATATATATATATATCAGAATGTACGTAAGGAGACTAATTGCATTTGTCAGTGGCGTGCAGTGTGATTTCACACCGGGAATTAGCTATAGGGTTTGGGGGAGCGCTGTGTAAAAGACGGGGGCTTTAAAAATACATTAACTATGAAGGCATCGGTTCCGAGTCAGCACTGATGAGACAGATTTCACATTCTCTACTCGGTCACTACGGCACATATCACTATGTCGAAAGTTTAATATTTGTATTACTTTAAGACCTCTAGGGGGGCTACCCTAGTCCCTTTAAACTCACGGACAGCATGCCATTTCTATCTGCACAAGTTGACTTGGTGGTAACGACGAAGCCGGTCAAGCTAGTAAGTCATTGAACGCCGCTGTCAAATATAAACTATTGAAGGCAGACAACTCGTGTGGTACTAGGGCCTGGTAGGTTAGAGCGGCTATCAAGATAAGTGCCGCGGTATTTTAACACGTTTTTATTAACTCAGCTTCGCGTGTGTTTGTTGTTAAAATTGACATCGAAAATTAGCCCACTTCTGATTGCTCTATAGATCTGAAATTTGGCATGCAGGTTACTTTCGCCTAACAATTTCAGATGCAATCATAAAAACTAGCAATTAGAGACCGTAATTAGCTTAATTTAATTACGCCCCAAGGACCATAAAATTGAGGACATGATTTCTAAAGATACCGACAAGACTGGAGGCTTATTGACACAGTTACTTCGGCCCCAATCGATGTGAGCGCGCTGGCCGTGATCGTATAGTGGTTAGTACTTCTCGTTGTGGCCGCGACAACCCAGGTTCGAATCCTGGTCGCTCAAGATTTTTTTAGTCCGTGTATTTATAAACACTTAGTCAATTCATACTTAATCAAGTCATTAGATAAAGTAGAAAATAAACTATATAAAAAACTTTTTTAAAAACCACTTTTTTCATGTGTAGCAACGGACTAAAAAGGAGAAAATAAAATACTTAAAAAAAACTTTTTAAAAAACCACGTTTTTCTTGTGGACTAAAAAGTAGAAAATAACTATTTACATAATTTGATGACAAAAAACGTGGGTCGGGCAGATGGGTCGGGAAATTTGATGGTGAACGTACCCACGTTTTTTGTCATCAAATTATGTAAATAGTTATTTTCTACTTTTTAGTCCACAAGAAAAACGTGGTTTTTTAAAAAGTTTTTTTTAAGTATTTTATTTGTGTTGGTTTGTGGACAGTAAATCAAATAACCCTCTGTAAATCGTCGGTGTGTGATGTAATAGTTAGGGGCTGTGGTAGACAGATACTTTCTGCATGGGTAACTTTAAAGAAGTACCACTTATAGGTAACACGGGTAACATTTGCGGGTATCATTGTCAGGTAACATGGACAGGTAACAGGGACAGGTAACATAGACAGGTAACATGGACAAGTAACATAGACAGGTAACAGACAGGTAACAGACAGGTAAGAGGGACAGGTAACAGGGACAGGTAACAGGGACAGGTAACAGGGACAGGTAACATGGACAGGTAACATGGACAGGTAACATGGACAGGTAACAGGGACAGGTAACATGGACTGGTAACATGGACTGGTAACATGGACAGGTAACATGGACAGGTAACATGGACAGGTAACATGGACAGGTAACATGGACTGGTAACATGGACAAGTAACATGGACAGGTAACATGGACAGGTAACAGGGGCAGGTAACATGGACAGGTAACATGGACAGGTAACATGGACAGGTAACATGGACAGGTAACATGGACAGGTAACATGGACAGGTAACATGGACAGGTAACATGGACAGGTAACATGGACTGGTAACATGGACAGGTAACATGGCCAGGTAACATGGACAGGTAACATGGACAGGTAACATGGACAGGTAACATGGACAGGTAACATGGACAGGTAACATGGACAGGTAACATGGACAGGTAACATGGACAGGTAACATGGACAGGTAACATGGACAGGTAACATGGACAGGTAACAGGGACAGGTAACAGACAGGTAACAGACAGGTAAGAGGGACAGGTAACAGGGACAGGTAACAGGGACAGGTAACATGGACAGGTAACATGGACTGGTAACATGGACGTAACATGGACAGGTAACATGGACTGGTAACATGGACTGGTAACATGGACAGGTAACATGGACTGGTAACATGGACAAGTAACATGGACAGGTAACATGGACAGGTAACATGGACAGGTAACATGGACAGGTAACATGGACAGGTAACATGGACAGGTAACATGGACAGGTAACATGGACAGGTAACATGGACAGGTAACAGGGACAGGTAACAGACAGGTAACAGACAGGTAAGAGGGACAGGTAACAGGGACAGGTAACAGGGACAGGTAACAGGGACAGGTAACATGGACAGGTAACATGGACAGGTAACAAGGACAAAAAATAGGGACAGATAACATGGATTAGTAACATTGATAGGTAACATGGACAGGTAACATGGACAGGTAACAGGGACAGGTAACATGGACTGGTAACATGGACAGGTAACATGGACAGGTAACATGGACAGGTAACATGGACAGGTAACATGGACAGGTAACATGGACAGGTAACATGGACAGGTAACATGGACTGGTAACATGGACAGGTAACATGGACTGGTAACATGGCCAGGTTGCATGGACAGGTAACATGGACAGGTAACAGGGACAGGTAACATGGACAGGTAACATGGACAGGTAACATGGACAGGTAACATGGACAGGTAACATGGACAGGTAACATGGACAGGTAACATGGAGAGGTAACATGGACAGGTAACATGGACAGGTAACATGGACAGGTAACATGGACAGGTAACATGGACAGGTAACATGGACAGGTAACAGGGACAGGTAACAGGGACAGGTAACATGGACAGGTAACATGGACTGGTAAGAGGGACAGGTAACAGGGACTGGTAACATGGACTGGTAACATGGACTGGTAACATGGACAGGTAACATGGACTGGTAACATGGACAGGTAACATGGACAGGTAACATGGACAGGTAACATAGACTGGTAACAGGGACAGGTAACATGGACAGGTAACAGGGACTGGTAACATGTACAGGTAACATGGATAGGTAACATGGACAGGTAACATGGACAGGTAACATGGACAGGTAACATAGACTGGTAACAGGGACAGGTAACATGGACAGGTAACATGGACTGGTAACATGGACAGGTAACAGGGACAGGTAACAGGGGCAGGTAACATGGACAGGTAACAGGGGCAGGTAACATGGACAGGTAATATGGACAGGTAACATGGACAGGTAACAGGGACAGGTAACAGGGGCAGGTAACATGGACAGGTAACAGGGACAGGTAACATGGACAGGTAACAGGGACAGGTAACAGGGGCAGGTAACATGGACAGGTAACAGGGACAGGTAACATGGACTGGTAACATGGACTGGTAACAGCGGCAGGTAACATGGACAGGTAACAGGGACAGGTAACATGGACAGGTAACAGGGACTGGTAATATGGACTGGTAATATGGACAGGTAACATGGACTGGTAACATGGACAGGTAACATGGACTGGTAACATGGACAGGTAACATGGACTGGTAACATGGACAGGTAACAGGGACTGGTAATATGGACTGGTAATATGGACAGGTAACAGGGACAGGTAACAGGGACTGGTAATATGGACAGGTAACATGGACTGGTAACATGGACAGGTAACATGGACAAGTAATACATACAGGTAACAATGACAGATAATAGCCAGGTACTACTGACATTTACAATGGGCAGGTAATACATAAAGGTAGCACTGATAAGTACAATAGACCGGTATTACTTAAGATACCACTGACAAGTAGAATGGACAGATAGTACTTAAGGTACCACAGACAGGTAGAATGTACAGATAGTACTTAAGGTACCACAGACAAGTAGAATGTACAGATAGTACTTAAGGTACCACAGACAAGTAGAATGTACAGATAGTACTTAAGGTACCACAGACAAGTAGAATGTACAGATAGTACTTAAGGTACCACAGACAAGTAGAATGTACAGATAGTACTTAAGGTACCACAGACAGGTAGAATGTACAGATAGTACTTAAGGTACCACAGACAAGTAGAATGTACAGATAGTACTTAAGGTACCACAGACAAGTAGAATGTACAGATAGTACTTAAGGTACCACAGACAAGTAGAATGTACAGATAGTACTTAAGGTACCACAGACAAGTAGAATGTACAGATAGTACTTAAGGTACCACAGACAAGTAGAATGTACAGGTAGTACTTAAGGTACCACAGACAAGTAGAATGTACAGATAGTACTTAAGGTACCACAGACAAGTAGAATGTACAGATAGTACTTAAGGTACCACAGACAGGTAGAATGTATAGATAGTACTTAAGGTACTACAGACAAGTGCAATAGGCAACACAAAAATGATAACATGCCACGCCTACTCTAGGTACCACCCGTAAGTCAGATAGGTACCAGTTACGTGTTATAGGTACCGACAGATAACACAGTTACCTTATGGTTATTTCATCGTGTGCTTTATCTAGTCTTCAGCTATGGTGCCAACATTTAGCCAAACATCGGCACATAAACCTACTGTATGCAACAACTATCCGATACACTCGGCAGACATACTCAAGTTTTATACGACTTTTTTAAAACCACTGTACACATTGTTGAGCGTTTTATATAGATTTAACGATAAAGGAGCTATGTTCATTTTTATCTAGCGAAAAAAATAAAGAAACTGGCCATCTATAGACAACTGACCAGCTATAGAAAAACAACTGACCATTTATAGAAAGACAACTGACCAGCTAAAAAAAGACAACTGACCAGCTATAGAAAGACAACTGACCAGCTATAGAAAGACAACTGACCAGTTATATAAAATCAACTGACCAGTTATAGAAAGACAACTGACCAGTTATAGAAAGACAACTGACCAGTTATAGAAAGACAACTGACCAGCTATAGAAAGACAACTGACCAGCGATAGCAGTAGTGGACCATCTACAAGATAATAACTATAGATGCCAGAACTCTCCTAGTCAAAACGATAAATAAATTAACCATCAGCATTTCGAGGAATCATCGAATCTTTACCCTCCTTTAAACAAGACCATGACACAAAAGAACAATACTTACTTTACTTCGAACAACCTAAATCTCCTGAGCCCAATCTACAAATACACAGTCTTCTGACTGTAACATACACAAGTCAGTCTACCCCTATACGAGACAACCTCAGACCGCCAAAAACCTCCAGGTTAAAGGCTCGCCTGCCGATCACCCGTCTGCCGTAAGGTCCCGTGTCACCCCACACCCCGGCTGTCAAACACAGCAGACACAAACCCTAGCAGACGACTCCACCGCCACCCTCCACTTTCATTCAGTCGTGTCGAACACGTCCGGTTTAATTTTTAATGGCATCGATTGATATGATTGGTAAAGATCGATTATGTTGTACACTCATGATTGGTAAGAATCGATGAAGTAGTTCGGTCTGTTGAACGATCGCGGGCGACGTTGACAAGACAAGACAAAATGTGTCGATAACAAAAAACAAGACAAAATGGGTCTATGACAAATACGACAAAGGTGTATGACAAAGAAGACAAAAAGTGTATGACAAAAAAAGACAAAATGTGTCTATTACAACACAAGACAAAATGCGTCTATGATCAACACCTAATTAACAGACACAAACTAAGAGGCGTCCAGTTCAAAACTCAACGAAAGGTTAAACTAACTTTTATAAAGCCCACTTATATGTTACCTACATGAATTGTCTGTGTGTGTACATGACGTGTCTGTGTGTGTACATGACGTGCCTGTGTGTGTACATGACTTGTGTGTGTGTGTACATGACTTGTCTGTGTGTGTACATGACGTGTCTGTGTGTGTACATGACTTGTGTGTGTGTACTTGACTTGTCTGTGTGTGTACATGAGTTGTATGTGTGTGTACATGACTTGTCTTTGTGTGTACATGACTTGTCTGGGTGTGTACTTGACTTGTCTGTGTGTGTACTTGACTTGTCTGTGTGTGTACATGTCTGTATGTGTACATGACTTACTTGTGTGTGTACATGACCTGTATGTGTGTGTACATGACTTGTGTGTGTACATGTCTGTATGTGTACATGACTTGTCTGTCTGTGTGTACATGACTTGTATGAGTACATGACTTGTCTGTGTGTGTACATTGCTTGTCTGTGCGTACATGGCTTGTCTGTGTGTGTACATGACTTGTCTGTGTGTGTACATGACTTGTCTATGTGCGTACATGGCTTGTGTGCGTACATGGCTTGTCTGTGTGTACATTACTTGCATGTGTGTACATGACTTTTCTGCAAGTGTACATGAATACTCGAAAACCGTAAGTCTTTATTTGCAATCTATATACATAACTACATATTTATGTTTAATTTCTTAATTTAGATACTAGTTCCTATTCAGTTGAATGTTGATACATTATATTGTGCACATATTGTCTGTTATCTGACATACCGTGTGTTGTTAAACTCTGTTCTGTATTGGATAAGCCTTTAGGTGCACGCTAATTTATTAATAGGATTTTTGTCTTTGATCTGTCGATAGCATTTCTGTCTTGACTGATTTATAGACGTTTACACTCGTTGTTTGAAAACTGTGGGGGGGGGGGGGGGGGGGGGGTTCAGTAGGTGGGTAGCAATTATGTTCAGGCTTATGTAAACCTTGAGGTTTTGTTACAGGATGAGACTAAACACAGGTGAGTGTTGACGTGATGTTAGACGTTCACTGATGTAATAGGTCACAGTCAAGAGTTGATGATAAGTCACTTGAGATGCATGTTGCCGTCAGAGTTTCTTCCAGACATCTCTTCGCCCCCCCCCCCCCCCGAACGAAATGAAATTTATATAATTTATATAGAAAATATGTACTTTTAACAGTGTCCCCCCCCCCCCCCGAAGAAAGTCTACCGCCCCCCCCCCCCCCCCCGAAAATTTCAAGTGCCCGCCCCGGAGAAAAAAGTCTGGAAGAAACACTGGTTGCCGTGAGACCCAGATTGTCAGTCACATGTCAGTTGAATGTATGTAAGAATGTATGTAAGAATGTATGTAAGAATGTATGTAAGAATGCATGTAAGAATGCATGTAAGAATGTATGTAAGAATGTATGTAAAAATGTATGTGAGAATGTGTGCAAGAATGTGTGTAAGAATGTATGTAAGAATGTATGTAAGAATGTATGTAAGAATGCATGTAAGAATGCATGTAAGAATGTATGTAAGAATGTATGTAAGAATGTATGTGAGAATGTATGTAAGAATGTGTGCAAGAATGTATGTAAGAATGCATGTAAGAATGTATGTAAGAATGTATGTAAGAATGTATGTGAGAATGTATGTAAGAATGTATGTAAGAATGTATGCAAGAATGTGTGCAAGAATAAGTGCAAGAATGTATGTAAGAATGCATGTAAGAATGTATTGAGAATGTATGTAAGAATGTATGTAAGAATGCATGTGAGAATGTATGTGAGAATGTAGGTAAGAATGTATGTAAGAATGTATGTAAGAATGTATGCAAGAATGTATGCAAGAATGTATGCACGAATGTTATGAAACGAATGTATGCAAGAATGTATGCAAGAATGTATGTAAGAATGTATGTAAGAATGTATGTAAGAATGTATGCAAGAATGTATGCAAGAATGTATGCAAGAATGTATGTAAGAATGTATGTAAGAATGTATGTAAGAATGTATGTAAGAATGTATGTAAAAATGTATGTAAGAATGTTATGTAAGAATGTATGTTAGATTATGTGTAAGGATGTATGTAAGAATGTAAGTAAGAATGTATGTAAGAATGCATGTGAGAATGTATGTGAGAATGTATGTAAGAATGTATGTAAGAATGTATGTAAGAATGTATGTAAGAATGTATGTAAGAATGTATGTAAGAATGTATGTAAGAATGTATGCAAGAATGTATGTAAGAATGTATGTAAGAATGTATGCAAGAATGTATGCACGAATGTATGTAAAGAATGTATGAAACGAATGTATGCAAGAATGTATGCAAGAATGTATGTAAGAATGTATGTAAGAATGTATGTAAGAATGTATGCAAGAATGTATGCACGAATGTATGTAAAGAATGTATGAAACGAATGTATGCAAGAATGTATGCAAGAATGTATGCAAGAATGTATGCACGAATGTATGTAAAGAATGTATGAAACTAATGTATGTAAGAATGTATGTGAGAATGTATGTAAGAATGTATGCAAGAATGTATGCAAGAATGTATGTAAGAATGTATGTAAGAAGACCTATGTGAATCTGTCAGTGGCGCGCAGTGTCATTTCACACCAGGAACTAGCTATGGGGTTTGGGGGAGCGCGGTGTTAAGGGGGGGGGGGATTGGAGATTTTAACAATGACGAAATCAGTGTTTCTTACAGACTTTTTTCTCCGGTCGGGGAGGGGACTTGATATTTTCCGGGGGGGGGGGGCGGACCAGAGTTTCTTCCAGGCATTTCTTCGGGGGGGGCGGAGCCTACTGACCCCCCCCCCCCTCCGAAGGAGATGGATTTTATATGGTAAACATACACTAGTGTCCGCCCCCCCCCCCCCCCTGAAAAATGTTGACCCACCCCCCCCCCCCCCACCCCCCGGAAATGTCAAGTGCCCCCCGGAGAAAAAAGTCTGGAATAAAAACTGGGGCGGACACTGGTAAAAGTATATATTTTCTATATAAATTCCATTTCGCTCGGGGGGCGGTAGACTTCCTTCAAGGGAGACTTCCTTCAAGGGGCGGCGGAGACACACTCCCCCCCCCCCCCCCCCCCCCCCCCCCGAAGAGATGCCTGGAAGAAACCCTGCGAACAAGTTTTCAAACATGGGAGGAATCTAGTAGAATTACAAATCCACCTACGTTAACAATAACATACTACCCTAGAAGTCTTATGACCGACCATTGGCACCAAGGCCGGTGCTGTGCTGATATAGAAACATGCAACAATCCTTAGAATTGCATCAGACGGGGTGTGTGTTGAGAATTGAATATTGACGGTTAAAAAGTGTTGATCCAATAAGCCGATCTACTCATACTACTACAGGAGCACTTACCATTTATCGAGACAGCTATCTACATGCTACTGAAAGGATAGGGTTTGTACACTTAACTTTAGTTAAGATATCTGCGTATTGCTTATTAGTAGATCTAGAATCAAGATCTCGATTTAGTTTAATTTAATTCACAACAAAACTTCCAGTGTATTTCTGTGTTCGTCATGGCTGAGGTACATATTAAATATTTAACAACAGTAATTTTATTTTTTTAAGTATCAATGATATATTTGTAGAATGTAATTTTTTTAACATTAAGAGTAAGAGATTTGGGTAAAATCACAATATAGCGTCGGAAATTATCGGGTAATGTGTGTTGAGTTTCGGTAACATTTGATACTGTAAACCATAATTTATTTGACCGTTGAAATGAAAATAAAGGCCAGTGCATTAAATTAATTTTTTAACTTAATTTAAAGTTTAATTGACAGAAAATTAGCAACAATTAGTAAATTTAAATATTATTAATAAAGTCGAGTGTAGTAGTTAATGTTTTTTAAGAAACAGAAAAAAAAAAACGTGCAGAAGATTTGCGACAACTAGATCTAGATTCTAGATTCAGTAAAGTTTAATAAGACGATTACATTTACTAAAGTTGAAGCACTAAGAAGAACTAGAACAATGTTTAGTATCAGCAATAATTAGCACATACACTTAAAATAATTAGAAATAACAAATAATTAGCAAAACAGTATTTAAAATGCAAATAAAATCAATCAATGCACATTATTTAAACATAATGTTTTGTATGTATTAAAAAATAATATGGTGGCAAATAAATGATGGTTTACAGTATTTCCGGTAGTTTCTGGAACGGCTCGGCAGACTACGCCATGATATTACTGTTTTTTACTGCTATACAATTCCGGAATAATAAAGGCCACTATGTCGTGATTTTACCGAGATCTAAGCCTGATGTTGCCTCGCTATCAATGCTCTGACTCAAACCTTGATCTACATCTATGTTCATGGCATATAGATCTAGGAAGATAATTTTTTTTAAATGCTTTTAAAATAACACTATAATAAGGATATAGTATAACTCATTGTCAGGTTTAGATGATATCTACTTATGTAGCCAAAACTATAGGTAGCAGCAACTGTAGATAGCCAAACTGTAGGTAGGGAAAGTTGTAGGTAGCCGAAACTGTTGGCAACCAATTT